GTCATCCAGGTTTTTATGTCTTCAGACATGCCTGTAATCTATGTAATGGGTTAGCTTCATCTGGATTTATAGACAGATATAGCTGGGTATCATCAGGATAACATTGAAAATTAATCCCATGCTGTCTTATAATTCTACCGATTAGGAGCATATATATATAGTAAAGAGAATTGGTCCTAGCACTGATCCCTGTGGTACTCCACAGGTAACCCTTGAGCATGAGGAAGATTTGTCATTAATGTGAACAAACTGAAATGTGTCAGATAGGATTTAAACCAGTCTAGAGCTGATCCTTTCCTACAAAATATTCAAGTCTTTCTAAAAGAATATTATGATCAGCTTTATCAAATGCAGCTCTGAGATCTAACAGGACAAGTACAGATACGAGTCCATTATCTGAGGCCATGAGAATATCATTAGTGACTTTCACCAGAGCTGTTTCAGTGCTATGATGAGCTCTAAATCCAGACTGAAACTCTTCAAAAAGTTAATTATGGTGTAAGTGATCGCACACTTGTTTGGCTACTACTTTCTCAAGGATTTTAGATAAGAAATAAAGATTGGATATAGGTCTATAATTGACCAAGTCATCTGGCTCAAGAGACGGTTTCTTAAGCAAAGGTTCAATTACAGCAACCTTAAAAGCCTTTGGTACATAATCCTGTAACAGGGAGAGATTAATCACATCTAAAATGGTTGAGTTTTGTAAGAATCAGGGATAAGATTGATATTTCAGTGATAATGGAAAATAGAGACCGTTTGGGCAAAAAACAGTGTCAATTAAAAATTTCCACAAACAAAGCAAATCAACTGTTTATGCAATAGATGTGTGTATGTTTAAATTGGGGAAATTAGATTGAGAGAGTGGCTTCTGGCCTCTCCAGATAATCTATTTACGTCTGTCACACTTCATTATGCCCAAACCAAAACTATTTGACACTTGAACATGTTTATCGTGTCTAAATGCCATCAGTCAGCACTGGGGCAACAAGATAAAAGTGCATCTCCTGCTTACAGATCATGACTTTCATTGGTTTTCTTGACCTTGAAGTTGTAAAACCATGTTATTTGATACATATTTTTTTTCCATTAGTGACATATCTTTTCACTAATGTTGAATATCAGGATGTTTCAGTAATCCAATTTAATGTGACAGACTTCAGCGTTTTCTTTCAGCATTTGTATCCATGGCTGCCTGAGTGCAACGGGATCTGCCTCTTGAGGCTGCCGTCGTTTGAAACAGCTAACCCTTGAACTGACTGACTTAAAAGCAGCTGCAAACAAACACGCAAAAGGGAATGATTGAAAAACACTTTTAGTAAAACTCTGAGGACAAGCAAGGTTAGCTCCTGTGTGCCAGAGAGATGGTTTCTTGTCAAAAGAACTGTGCAGATCAGGAGAGAGCGTGTGTGAAATATCTTTTTAAAGATTACTGTCAAATGGGATTTGCAAAGCAGATCTGTAGTAACTGAAAAGTACATTGTTTACAAATGTCCTTTTGCTTTCATGATATATATATATATATATATATATATATATATATATATATATATATATATATATATATATATATATATATATATATAATTAGCCTTTTAATGTTATTTGCTATTTTCCTTATTCTTTAAATCTTCCAATCTATCAGGACTTTTTAGATTATTTTAAATGGTTCTTTGAGGGCATTGTTGTTAAAGCATCTTTAATTTATTTACTTATTTTCTTTTTCAAAATTTGGTGGATCTTTTATTGAAAACATGGTTGTACTAATCCTATGGTTCCCATGATTTAAGTTCTGACTAGAGAGATAAATGTCCACTCGTTTCTGTTTCACTGTTGTCCACTTGAGTTCATACTAAATTCTCTGAGTTCTCTGAATTCTTTCCGAAGCACTTCTATTTTGAGAATATTGTGATGAGGCAAAAGGTCAGCATGCTGTCATCTTTTTAGCTGCTAGTGCTTTTTAACTCTACATCACATTTTCTTGTAAATGACACAAAAAAAGGTTTTGTATGTTTGTGAAAAGATTATCCAAACCAATACCAGTAGGAATAAAAGTGCCAAAGTGAAATATCCATCTAGTTATTAAAGCTTTCATTATTCTTATGTTGCATTTTATTTTTATTTTCTGTTTGGCATCAACATGTTTTTTCGTTTGTTTTTTGTAAACGGTTTTGCTTCTCCCACAATCTCCTAACATTCCAATGGAGTTTAGAGTCTATGGAAGAGGATTAGGGCCACTGAAAAAATAAAAAAGTTAACTGATTTTTAAATATTATTTCAGTTTAATATTGGGAAAAAAGTCAGAATTCTGACTTTTTTTTCTTGAAATTCTGACTTTTTTCTCAGAATTCTGACTTTTTTCTCAGAATTCTGACTTTAATCTCAGAATTTTGGATCTTAATCGTATAGAGCACCCCGAAGGAAAGATGTGGGAGCACTCAGCTTCACTAACAAAGATGTGAGTTGTTTGAGAGGGCCATTAACACATTAGAAAATGGCGGAATTAGGCGACTTTTTACATGCCCTAAGGATCCATGGTGATGCTATTTCATTAATGTAAGAGCGGAAGGTGATTATAAAAGAGAGCTAGTTTACTCTCAGGATATGGGTACAGCTTGATGCTAACATGTTTGTTACCTCTCAGAATTCTCACTGAATTCTGAGAAAAGAGTCAGAACTTTGAGATTAAAGTCGGAATTCTAAGAAAAAAATTCAGAATTCTCGTAAAGAAAATCAGAATTCTGAGATTAAATTCAGAATTCTGAGAAAAAAAAATCTGAATTCTGAGATTAAAGTAAAATTTCTGAGAAAAAAAGTCAGAATTCTAAGATTAAAGTCAGAATTCTTAAAAAGAAAATCTAAATTCTGAGAAAAAAGTCAGAATTCTGACTTTTTCCCATATTAAACTGAAATAATATTTAATCAGATAACTTTTTTTTAATTTTTTCAGTCGCCCTTATCCTCTTCCGTAAGAGTCATCTATATTATTTCTTTCTTTTTTTTTTTTTATTAAAAAGAAGCTTCCCGGATGGGAAGAGAAACGTCTTCAAACTTGGAAACAACGTCCAGTGGATTGTTTTTTTTTGTTGTTGTTTTGTTTTTTGAACTCTTTTTGGAAAGTCTAGGAAAGGAAACCATAAACGATCCCACACTACAGGTGCTGGTCATAAAATTAGAATATCATGAAAAAGTAGATTGATTTCAGTAATTCCATTTAAAAAGTGAAACTTGTATATTATATTCATACATTACATACAAACTCATATATTTCAGATGTTTATTTTGTTTAATTTTGATGATTACAAATGACAACAAATGAAAATCTCAAATTCATCATATCAGAAAATTAGAATATTGTGAAAAGGTTCAAAATTGATGGCCCCTGGTGCCACACTCTAATCAGCTAATTAACTCAAACCACCTGCAAAAGCCTTTAAATGGTCTTTCAGTCTAGTTCTATAGGCTACACAATCATGGGGAAGACTGCTGACTTGACAGTTGTCCAAAAGACGACCATCGACACCTTGCACAAGGAGGGCAAGACACAAAAGGTCATCGCTAAAGAGGCTGGCTGTTCACAGAGCTCAGTGTCCAAGCACATTAATAGAGAGGCGAAGGGAAGGAAAAGATGTGGTCGAAAAAAGTGTACAAGCAAGAGAGATAACCGCACCCTGGAGAGGATTGTGAAACAAAACCCATTCAAAAATGTGGGGGAGATTCACAAAGAGTGGACTGCAGCTGGAGTGAGTGCTTCAAGAACCACCACACACAGACGTATGAAAGACATGGGTTTCTGCTGTCGCATTCCTTGTGTCAAGCCACTCTTGAAGCACAGACAGCGTCAGAAGCGTCTTGCCTGGGCTAAAGAGAAACAGGACTGGACTGCTGGTGAGTGGTCCAAAGTCATGTTCTCTGATGAAAGTAAATTTTGCATTTCCTTTGGAAATCAAGGTCCCAGAGTCTGGAGGAAAAGAAGAGAGGCACTTCATCCACGTTGCTTGAAGTCCAGTGTAAAGTTTCCACAGTCAGTGATGGTTTGGGGTGCCATGTCATCTGCTGGTGTTGGTCCATTGTGTTTTCTGAGGTCCAGGGTCAACGCAGCCACATACCAGGAAGTATTAGAGCACTTCATGCTTCCTGCAGCTGACCAACTTTTTGGAGATGCAGATTTCATTTTCCAACAGGACTTGGCACCTGCACACAGTGCCAAAGCTACCAGTACCTGGTTGAAGGACCATGGTATCCCTGTTCTTAATTGGCCAGCAAACTCTCCTGACCTTAACCCCATAGAAAATCTATGGGGTATTGTGAAGAAGAAGATGCAATACACCAGACCCAACAATTCAGAAGAGCTAAAAGCCACTATTAGAGCAACCTGGGCTATCATAACACCTGAGCAGTGCCACAGACTGATCGACTCCATGCCACGCCGCATTGCTGCAGTAATACAGGCCAAAGGAGGCCCAACTAAATACTGAGTGCTGTACATGCTCATACTTTTCATGTTCATACTTTTCAGTTGGCCAACATTTCTATAAATCCTTTGTTTTTATTGGTCTTCAGTAATATTCTAATTTTCTGATATGATGAATTTGAGATTTTCATTTGTTGTCATTTGTAATCATCAAAATTAAACAAAATAAACATCTGAAATATATGAGTTTGTATGTAATGTATGAATATAATATACAAGTTTCACTTTTTAAATGGAATTACTGAAATCAATCTACTTTTTCATGATATTCTAATTTTATGACCAGCACCTGTATATGACTTTCCTGTGTTTCTCTCTGAGCTTCAAACGCATAAACTTCCTCTTTAAACTCAGCTGTTAACGGGTAAAACTGGGACTTACTAGGAAAGCACTAATTAAGCCTTATATGGCCGCGTGCGTTAGGGGCCACGCCTAGAACCCCTCGGTGCTCACCGGGCCTGCTGTGGCGTGTGGCCGCCCTGCCTCACTGCCAGGAAGCTCTCGGTCACCGCCCCCTCCCTCCGGCCCCCCTCCCTCCTCCTCTTAGTCTCCTCCATTGTTGAGCAATAGTCCATCTAATCGAAACGGTTGTAACCGAAACTCTCTGTTCAGTAAAGCGCTTCTAACTTTTTCAAACGCTCGCTATCGTTTTCAAAAAGCGGTCCAGAGGAAAGGACTCTAGTTTTCGGGAGGAGAGCGCAGCAGAACTCTTTGAGGTGAGGAAAACTTTTAAGGGCGATGAAATTCCATACTTCCCATTCCTCCATTTTGAACTTTTAAACTCCCAGTTTATCAAGCGGTTTGTTTTCCAAGAGTTAAACGCGGTTCGTCTCTCTACATTCCATTGTTATTTTTTGAATTGTTTAAAACTATAATATGACAGCTTAAAGCGTAAAAGATGGTTTTATTTTTTTTTAACGTAACGGTTAACGTTGGTGTTTGTTGTTAATCGGCTAACGTTAGCAATAGCTGCTGCTACAGCAGGTAGCGGCGTCAAGCTAATTTGGCTAAAATGTAGAAGTACCAACTTGCTGAGATTTGTTCTACTTCCTCATTTATGTTTACTCACACAGCTGTGTTTCTTTAACACTGTAAACTAATGTATATTCAACAGGATGGAACAAAACTTTAGTTTTGTCGAGCTTCTCAGGGCAACAGGTGTGACCTGGTTGTTTAAAGTAACAGTACCTGAGGTTAGCTGAGCTGGGTTTGGTCGACAGGTATTCACACATCTTTGTATTTTTTTTTTTGAATTTTTGTTTCTATATGATGTCAACTAAAATCTGACATACACATATGTTGGTGTCCTTAAAGTTTTTAGTTTCATTTTTACGCTTTTAAGTTTACCTTTAGAGCGTAGGTGCCCCACCCTAGTGGATTGGGTAAACATGTTAGATCAGCCTCTGTCGTGTTTTGGATTCAAATCACGACCGTGATTTCTTAGCTGTTGGCCACACTGGAAGCCATTTTTAAAAATAAGGGACAGAGTTTAACATTTAAAAACAACTGTTACAAGAATAACCAGCCGAACTGCAGTTATATAGGTTAAGGGGTAAAAAAAATCAGACTATTCACATTGTTTACTTTTTGTTTTATTCCTATCAAAGTAGGTTCACACTTAATAACAATGGCCTATATAAATGTGTGTGTATATATATATATATATATATATATATATATATACACACACACATTTTTTTCCCCGAACCACAGTTGGGCTGTCTGTAAAAGTAAAAAAATCTTCAAGTCAATCTACTTTTATTTTAAACTTTTCTCTTAAGGATTACACTAGAGGAAGACTGTTTTACAAACACAAGTATCAACGAGTAGTGTTGTCACAACACTAAAACTTCCCACTCAATATGCTGATGAAGATTCTCCGTCATCCAGGTTTCCCACTCAATTCCCACTCAATACTGATTCCCAGAAAAATATTTGACACCTGATACCATGGGAATGAAATATGCCACTTAAAGGCATAAAAACATATTTATGACCATGAGAAACTCACCTTTTAACCTCAAAAATCAGAATCACAGATTCAATCAGTTAAATAAGTGTACAAATGCATTTAGGATAAATAACCCAAATATATAAAAAAAAATCAGTTGTTTGAGGTTCTATTCTGTAAATAATCTAGAAATCTAAAACAATAAAAGCAAAGACATGCAAACAACTTGTTTTACTACAGATACCATGTCATATTAGTATGGTATCTGAATACTGCTTTTGAGTATTGATAGTTTTCCCCTTGCACAGGGATAAGGAATAATTACCTACTTAAATTTAGTCATTGTGTCAGGTAAAATCAGAATATACAAGAGGAAATTGATTTGAAGCTATTAAAGATATTTGTATTGCTTGTTGGTCTACAGCTCCTTAAAAAGTGATTCTAGGGGCTTTTTTTCAGTAAACTGCACTATTTTGTTTTTGCTGAGGCACAGCCATAGCTTTTAATACCAAACACTGGCGCTGACGCAGCTTCAGACTCGTTTGGCCAGAGGAAAGAACCACTTTCATCAGGAACTATGAGCAGGCTTCCTTTTTAATTGCTCAAGTATAAAACTTTACAACACAGCACTTTAAAAACGAAATGTAGAATTAGCATTGGAATCACAGACGTTGGATGTTTCTTATCTTCCTGCAGTTTATTTTCAGTTTAAGTAGGTCAATGTGCTGCTCACAACTGATCTCACAGTCGATTGTTTTCCGCCGCATCCATAAATGTTATTTCCGACTCAGTTCTTTACACTGTCTGTCTTTTAACGTCACTAGATGCTGTTAATGAATCTTGCTCTAAAAGCTCTGTTCAGCTCCCGTCTTTCCAGCTCTGCTGGTGCTGATGAGAGATCAGCTGATTAGGGCTGTGATGCATTCATAAGCACAGCAGGTTGTTTAAAACAGGCTTGATAAAGTCAGGTTGAGGTATTCAGACATTTATCCGCAGGGATAGTTGAACACCATATTATTCATGTGGTTAAAAATGTGTTCATGCACCACATTCCTTAAAACAAAAATACAAGAGAAAACCTCATAAGAGGGTCAAATGATGTAAAATGATTTAAATTCGAACTAATTTTACATAGCCCAATTTAATAACCAGAAACTGGTTAGTGAAATACCCTATTATATCAGTGCAAAGATCCATTAACACTCCAAATCCCACATTGTTTTCTTTTGTTAATGGATGTTGTGTTTAAAAAAAGAAATGTAGGTTATGAGCTGCTTATAACATTGTTCCCACATTACAGTTGACCAACATTTTAGTTTTGCTCTCAGCCTTCGAGGGGTTTGCTGTTTATCTTTCCCTGCCCCATGTTTGAAGGTTAATCAATGGAGTCGCAGTGAGTGTCTGAAAAGAAAAATGAAAAGTTATTGTGTGCAGCCCTTGACTGTCCTCCTCCAAGGGAAGAGGTGTTGTCTGTTGGATAAAAAGGGAGCAAAAATATTTTTGAACACTTTGTGTGTTGAACTCTTTGAGTGCTTTCTGAAAAGATTTTCACAATATGAGGTCACTGTTTAAGACCTAATTTCAAAACCTTAACGCATCTGAATTGTTTGCCATACAATACAAGTTTATTAACTGGGTCAGACTGGATTTTGAATGGCCCTGAATAACCTATTATGTCAGCATTTAAATTCTAGATTAATAAAAACTGCAATTGTTCGTTTGATAAGAACATATGGTGTTAAACTTTTTCTAAAGTAAATATGAAAAACAATATCATGGGCTGCATCTGACACAACTTTCATTTTCCAGCTATTTAAGGATTCGGATATCAGTGCAGCCATTTTAATCTTGAGTTAAATCAGCAAAGGTAATGTTTAGTACAAGGCTAATTAACATCCCATGATAATTGCATGTTTATATTATTTAATCTGCATATATGGCCTTACATGATGCACTAAATTCAGCACTTAAGGTCATGCGTAATCAATCAGACAGCACCTGGGTAATGAGCGTTCACATTAACTATGTGTTTGACTCTGTTGGTATCGGTGTTGATCTAACGCTTGCTGTGGCTCATGTAATCCGCCTGTATCCATGTTTGCATTCTTGCTGCAAGCTGTTGAAGAACCATTATGCAACCTCTCTGTGGGAAAGAGAGAAAAAAAAAACCCTCCAGGATTTCAAACAGAGATTAAATGCCTCTGCTGAAGGAGGTTGGCAAAGGTTGACTGTGAAAAGGATATCTGGGATTTCATCAGCACTGGGCCTACAGTATACGGATGTTAGACAAAACTATACTGTTTAATAGACTAGTCATCCTCATGGCTTAAAAGAAGAGTGTGAGGAGATGCTTTCTGTAGATTCAAAGTAAAATGCTTATAGATTTCTTTCAGCATGTTTATATTTATGTGTGGTTGCAAGTTAAAAGTTTTTCCTATTTATTTGTTTTTAATCCATAGAACCAAACAAGATGACTAGCATCAACACACCCAACATCAACTTCAAATGGGACCCAAAGAGCCTGGAGATCCGTACTCTGGCAGTGGAGCGCCTACTGGAGCCCCTTGTTACCCAGGTAATGCAAACATGGATAACATCTTTAGGCCCCGTCCACACGAAGCCAAACCCTGGCCTAAACGCACAAATTCTTCACCAAACCAGCCTCTCATCCATACGAAGCCGGCGTTTCGGGGGTCTGTAAACAATCTTTTTTTTATTAAGGCTTGTGGGAAGTGGGAAGATTTTGAAACGCCGTTTTCGCGTTTCCATCTTTAAGCTCTAACCTTTTTTTTTCTTACACGCATGCGTCACAGCGTCGCCTCTAAACACGCATGCGCGACACAGTATCACAACAACAATGGCGCCGTACTGTGTTGAATGGTTGCTGCTCATGCTACTCACCCTGCTGTCGGGCTTACAACAGAATCTTCTTCTTCCGGAATATCTCCAGGAAGAACAGAGCAATATCGACGACATAGTTCAGCACCTGAATTTGACTGAACCACGAAAATGGACCCGCAGGGCAACCATGTATAAAGATTAGTGCGCATGCCCAACATTTCGTCGCCTATTTTTGCTTTGGCACCACAGCGCCACTTACAGGCCTGGCATACATTTTGCAGCGTTTTCATGCATTCGTGTGGACGCTCACATTTATTTTACGTCTCCGTCTTTACGACAAACGTTCTGGAAAATATTAGCGTTTCGTGTTCGTTTTGACTTCGTGTGGACGGGGCCTAAATTTCACTTTTTTAATGAAATAAACCAAAAATCAGTTTGCAAAAGAAGAATGTTAAAATGGATGGAAACTGTAATTCGTAATATTACGCTACGTTCAGACCGCACACGCTAGAGGCAGTGGAAGCAGCTAGTTTACATGCAGATACGATGGATCAAAAGGTCCTGCAGCGCCTTTCCAGTTGCAGGAGCAGCGCATCATGAGCTTCTGAGCATCTGACGAGCGTGACGTGCTGCGAAAGCAGGAAAAATTTAACTTTTGCTGCTCGACGCTGCCACAACAGCCAATGAGAGAAGCTGGTCTGGGAGCTGGCAGGTAGACGGACACAGAACTGCTGATGCAGAACGCTATGATCACCCCACTGAAACAGTTTATTAATTCCTAAATTAACTCAAAATGTCGAAACCTGCTGGCAAAATATGTTTGCTTTTATGAGTCTGGGGCATGCAGTTTGAATTACGTACACGGAAAAGGCCTTCCAGCCACTCCGAACAGTAGCCAAAAACCGCAAAGAGGCAACCGGCCCAGATGCTGCCCGTGAACAGGATTTCCAAGGACAGCACACCGCAGTACAACCGCTCAGACCCCCGTACACCGGCGGTACACAGACTGCACAGATGAAGTTTTAAGGCGGACTTTATAACTTAAAAACATATTAAAACCACTTTTTACCCACTGATCACAGCAAATATAGCAAAGCCGCTCTCTACCATTGAACATAGAGCATCAGACGCATCTGGACACACTTTACTGGATGTCTGACCTTAACGTGGACAAACATAAAAAATTAGGGAGCAGAACCTTTGCTACCGCTTCCAGCCTTTGCGGTCTGAACATTGCATTATTCATTACAATAAGCCAAGCGACTCTCTCATGTTTATCAGTCATTGTTAGTGACCCAACATTGTCAGCCAAAGGATAGGGTAGCTCCACCCAACACGCATCAGACCCAGTTTTTGACCACCCAGCTAGAGCAGCAAAGATGCTTCAGCTGCGCGGTGGAACTAAACTTGTACAAGCATCAAAAATGAAGCAGTACCTGCATTTTTTTTGCTTCCAGTGCTAGCATTAGAAAATATGCTGTGTTAGACATGAATGTGACATGTAGTTCTTTAAATGTTAGGTCACCACGTTGGTAAACTCCAGCAATAAAGGACCATCTAACAAGAAGAAGGGGCGCTCTAAGAAGGCTCACGTTTTGGCTGCCTCAGTCGAGAACGCCACTCAGAACTTCCTTGAGAAGGGAGAAAAGATCGCAAAGGAAAGTCAGTTCCTTAAGGATGAACTCACCGCTGCAGTGGAGGATGTCCGCAAGCAAGGTACAGTCTACATACGGTACAGTATGTCAATTAAATGTTTTTCAGTTCGGTTTATCTCTATAGCATCAAATTTACAACACGTCATCTCAAGGCACTTTACAGTTCAGATCATCCAGTCAAATTGATTCAAAGTTTTCTATCTAAGGAAAACCAGTTGATTGCATCGAATCAAAGGCAATCCCTCAAGCTAAGCATGCTTATAGCGACAGTGGAGAGGAAAAACTTCCTTTTAACAGGAAGAACTAAAATATCTGCCTCCCATTCTACTTTTAGAAATTCTAGGGACCATGTATGTCTCAAAAGAGTCCCAAAAGATAGTGAATAATTTTTAGTAAATGTAAAGCTTTCGTTGGTTCAGTACTCAAGTTGAGGGGGGATGGGGAGGGGTGGCATCCCCCTTCTTAAATCACCTGTGACATATTAAATAATGTGTAACATTTCTACTATATATTAACAGTAATGGAAATAATATTGCCCTTTCAACATTTGTCGGGCTGTGGGCTTACGAGTAGCCTGATCAAAATAATAAAAATCAAAGAAGTGTCCTACCATGACTATGAAGCTGATCTCAGTGGGAAATGAGTCCCTAACTATGTAGGGGCAATGATAGCCATGCTAACTCTGTAGGGGCAGTGATAGCCATGCTAACTCTGTAGGGGCAGTGATAGCCATGCTAACTCTGTAGGGGCAGTGATTAGGTAAGTGTTAGGTGCCTTGGCCAAGGTCAATGAACAGTCTACCTGGCATGTAACAATCATACCAAGCATATTGCTTTAGGTGAATAGACTATATTAATCAGGCTATGGATGCTTCCAAAAAACATTCTGCCATCCCTCTTCTTTTTTTTTTTTTTTACAACTAGACTACTGCCTGGAGTACACAGATACCTGTTATTGAGAGCTTAGCTTAGCAAGGGTCTAGTAACTGATTATTAAAAGAAAAAAAGGCTTTGATTGGCGCTCTAGTCAGACTTTGGCTTCAATAGCTGTTTCACTTTGTAATCTTAACACCTTTTTATTGCCAACTCTGACAATATTTACAGGCATATTACAAAGCACTTTTTACCCATTTCACACCTACTGTGTTCAGGAGCAGAAACGTGTTTGATTTTTCATTTTAACAAACTAATGTGGATGATTGCTGAGAAATATTTGCTCCCTGGAGTTAAATGGTGATAATGGTAAAGATTTACCTACCAGTCGGTTTTTAAAAGTTTCTTCTCCTTGTTCAACGGAGGAAGATCTGACAAATACGCTTTCTGCTGCTGTTTCTGGTTTTTAATTAAAAAGCCTCCCTTTAAGCTGTTGCCACAGAGATCAGAGTGGTGTGGGGCATGTAGTGATAAAAGAGCATAGTTTCCTGCTGCTCCTGACTGTAGATTTATTTAAATGTTTGTATCCTCCTGTGTGGGCAGGAGTCCTCCCACTCAGCTTCTACTTCCAATTTAATTTTATGTCTCCAGACAAAAGCTGAGAACCGGCTAACCAGCCAGCGAAATAGAGTTTTTTTTCCCCCTGCTTTTTTTTTTTAGTGATCCTTTACTCCCAACATCTTTCAGAGGCAAGATTAATTTGCCTGTTTGGATGGGGAGCTTTAACTTGAGGGTGGGCTGTTATCACCCTGTGACGCGACATCCGTATCACGCCGTTTTTTTCTTCCCGGATCTCCTCTGCTCAAGTTCAGCTCTGTGTTGTAGCCGGAAAGGCTGCGCTGTGCCCAGGAATGTTAGTGTAGTTTGGGTGAGCTGTCACTGGGCTGGAATTCACTGCCTTTTGTTTGCCGGTGCCCAGGCCCGGCTCTCAGCTATGCCACGCTGCTCAGTGGAGCGTGTTTGGACTGATAATGCAGCCATTGACCAGGGCAGCACCACCTTGGATTCTAGCCATTTTTAGCCCACCAACTGATTTTAAAATAGGATTATTATGAGTTATAAAAAAAAAAAAATGGATGACTATTAAGCATACATTTCCAAATAGTTAAACAAGGTTTTTTTCTCCCTCCTTCCATTTTAAGTGGTTTGGATATTTTACACAGCCTTTATTTTAACATTCATGTTACATTAGAGTAGAGCTGATGATGTACACATCTATTGTCATGGGAGGTTTTCTTTACTCAGCGGTTTCTCCCTATACGTGTCCTTGCTCTCCCTCTTGCCCTTCCCACCTGTCTCTTTGCCGTCCTTCTGTTTGAGAGGCTTATTGTGTGACTTGCATTTTAATCATTTCATCGTCACACAGCCGGCTGCAGATAAGTGTTAGATAGATGAAAGTTTATTAAAGGAGCACTGATCTCTATCTACCTTCCGAAAATGGCCTTATTGATTTTCTTTGTTGCGGGTGTGGGGGGGAGGGACAGCCTAAGGGGCAGACTTTGCTTTTTGAGGTCTATGTTGTTGGTTAGTTGCACAAACTGAGTTGGAGGTGTAGGAGTAATGTGGGTGAATCGGTTTGAGCAGATCTGCTTTAGAAATATCTTTGCAGCTGCATATTGCCTTGTCGACTTGCCAGATCTCATTATATGCATGTTTTGGTTTGATAAAACGGTTTGTATGCACCTTATAACCAACAGATAATGTCATAATTATCAGTTAATTTGTTAGACAGCTACTAATTGGCATCTTATGATGATTGAATTGTACCTATAGAGATGGAGGATTCAGCAGTAATATTATTAAGGTATAACAGCTTTCAGGACAATGTTGCTTTAAACACAGCTGTTGTATTGGTAAATTAAAATTAAATTTAGCTGTTTCTATCTGTGGACTTTTCTGTTTCACTTCCTGCTAGATTATTTTCTCTGCAGCAGCAGAAGTTTATTGTGGTGATTATGATTGACAGCTGTGAACCAGTCAGGCAGCCTATATGGCTCACAACTCCCCACAATTTCTCACTCTGCTTGGCTGCTTATTATAGTTTTGGTTTAAGTTAACTAGAGATATAAGACCCTTTTACTGGCAGAAGCTTAAAAAATAACTCAAACCCACATCCATTAAACATGATACAGCGGCTGTTGATAAATAGAAAAATGAAGCAGCATAAGCTCGACCCAGGAAAGTTGAAAAAAAAATGAATATATTGGTGAAAATGGACAAATATACTAAATAATACAGAATGAATTTAAAAAACAACCCTTAATGATCCTCATTGGTTGACTAGAAGGATGTTTTGCTTATATGTACGCTGTGTACACATGTTGCAGAGGAGAATATCTGACTGAAATCTGCTTGGAGGGAAAGTATTTCAGTACAGGAGGGTTCTACTTTTAAACGGGAACGTAGCAGCCGATGCTAGGGGGGGGGGGCAAGATGGTGGAAGAATGACTGGATGTGATGGAGATGAGATTATTGGAACACGTTTCCGCTCTCCTTCTGCTACAAGGCCTTATTTGCATCAGACCCTCGGCTGGAAACTCAGCTGCCTGCTGTGTGCCCTCCTCAGTGTGGATGACACTGTGATGCCTGTAAGCCAATTTCTAACAGAAATGGCCTCTATAGGTAACATGCTCGTTCTGTAACACGACCACAACCTTCTGTTGGTTCGATCCTTTTTCATCTGTAGCTTTTAGATATGTTCCTTTTATGTGAGTTCAGGCTAAAAAGTAATGTTAATGTAATTTTCATGCTGCGATAACACAGCATCAGTCCCGCTAAGTCGGACGGTAATATTCTTTAGCTTAGGTTATTTTTTTAAGAAAAGCTAAAATTTATTAAAATGGAATTCTGTCGTATCTGAATGGACAAAGAAATAATTTTATTCTCATCTTGATGTATCTTAACTGGTTGCAAAAATGCAACCTTTTTCCCAATTTATCATAATTGTCATAATTATAACCCTCTTTGGTGTGGAAGTTATTACTGAGGGAAGAATCATAGTTGTCCATTTTAGGGTCAGAGGTTTATTAACCTGAAGGTAAAAGAAGCACAAAGGTGATTAAATCTGTTTTTCTATGGCGTGTTGAAATGTGTTGGTGATTTATTCAGGTTGGATGAGAGCAAAACCTGATCTTTTTTAGTTTCTTTTCTTTATCTCTTTTCATCTTTGAACTTGGATTTTGAAGAATCCCATTTTCAAAAGACATGGCAGATCAAAGCAAAGCCCTACATTAAGAAATGGTCTCAAAATATTATTTATTGGACATAGTGAAGACAAAAATATATCGGTTTACATTTAATTGGACATGTTTCCTTATTTTGAATTTCCCTAATTTTTTTTTTTTGGTGATGAATAGTGTATTTAAAAGAATTTTTTTTTCATTTAAAAAGTTTAATAACCCAGTTTTCAACGGCTCATCAGGAACTTTAAGATAACTTGAAAAGCTTTTCTAGAATCTTTTCAAAGGGGCTTTTTTGGCCTTGGCCTCAAACTTTTACATTGACTTGACCTGCAAAGATGGAACATGTTGAGCTTTGAAGAAAATAATTTATGTGACAAAACAGACGATGGATGAACCAGGTGCAGTTTTAGACTGATAATTAGGTTCTGGTTTTCAGTTTTCTGCTGGTTTGTTCTTTGGCCTCGAAGCTTCTTATTGTCTTGGCAACATAGGCAGAGGCAGATGAATTTGTGCAGCTATTTAATTTATGCTTTTCCAGAGGTTTCCGTCTAGAATTGACTCATTGTAGGTCACTAGTTGTCTTAAAAGGTGGAATTGGACTCATTTAATGGCTTTTTGCTCTTTTTTTAAAACTACTCATATGTTAGCTTTTTTCATCCTACTCAGAAGTGTCTTTTTTTATTTTTGTCTTGAAGACATTTCTTGTCTTAGAAAACCCAGTCTTCTTTCTGTGAAGACAGCTGGAATGTAAACACCTTAATTAGCTGGCACCTCTGTTCTGCAGCAAAGAAAAGTTTGTTTTGTGGCTTGTTTCAGTTTTATCTGCACTTCAAAGAAGAAAACTAAAATCAAGAAACCGTGTTTGACCTCCTCTTCAACATTGAGGGGTCTAAAGCCGCACCATTTGCAGCTATCATCGATGTTTTTTATGTCTTTTGGGCGACTGCATTTCATGATTAAAAGTTTCATCCAGGAAAAGATGTAGGAGCTGCACTGATCGGGTCAAAGTCAGGCTGCATTTTTAAAAATAAAGATATGCGTGTTTCCACTAGAAAATAAGTCACTAGCTTCCATTTTTAATTCTCACTGTTATTTTAAACATGCATGAATCACAAAGTCTACGAAGCAAATGGAAGAAAAAACAAAATTATATGGGGTACATTATTTAAAACGATTAATATGCCAAATGATGATTGACTTTGGACGTCTAAGTTACATTAAAACACCATTTTCAGTCAGTTTTGCAATAATGGAATGTTAAAATTAAAAGGGTAAAAACACTGTAATCCATAATGAGCTAAAAAAACAACAACTTTAGATTAGATAGTTTTAGGTAACTAAAGCAAACTTAAAATAATTTTGCAAATTAAATCAAGGTATTAGATTTAATCTCATGTAGATTTTTAATCATAAATCTTTAAAGGATTGTAGAATAATTTGTCATGAAACTCTCCGTAACCCTTGAAAGGAATATAACACAGATTTAATATTTCAAAAGGTTGTTTGCCTGCTCACACAATACACCTATCATCTCAGACGAATAAGTTATCCAGATCATAAAAGACGAGCAGAAATGAAACATGGCAAAGCACGATTTGTTCCATATCTACAGCACACCTTCTGTGGAATAAAACGTCCATTTAGATCCGTACTGCATTACAGGAAATAAATAAGATAAATACCTGTCTCTTTTGTCTCTGGAATACAGCAGTGTTGTTTTTAGACCTTTTATATAATAATTTTGCCTGTCGCTTTCAGTGAAGTAAAGGACAGCTTTGCTGTCTTGTTCATGATTTGAGGCTAAAAAGGCAATTTGTGTGCCAAGTCAGCTGTGCAGACCTGTCCAACGTGAGCCCAACGCACAATGCTGGGAAAACCAGACAGTGAGCCATTGTTGTGGTTTTGACCTCCATATTTTCCTTCATGGGGAAGAAGGAACGCTGAGCGACATGTGCTGACCTTTGCTGAGCAGAAAGATGCATCAGACCGCCGCTGTTCCTGCGCACTCCTCTTTCTCTAATGACTTTTGACGCAGTAAACATGTTGTGAAGAATAGACTGTGACTGATTTCAAACATGTCTTGACCTGCAGATGATCACTGCTACAGCAACAAGCTGATACTAGACACAATAAATGCTGTTTAGTGCACTTTACTCGTAATGAACCGTACACTTTTATTCCAATTAAAAGGAATATAATTACCTTTTTCTACCTCTATCCTGATGGTCTTCTTCATGTATACTAACCCAAATATCACCAGTGATTAAACAAGAACCAACTTTAATGTGTGAAATTAAGATATTTTTGCTCTACCTTCTTTTTTTACTCAGGTGAATCAATGCGACTGGCCTCTGGAGAATTTGCAGAAGACCCCTGTTCCTCTGTGAAGAGAGGCAATATGGTGCGAGCAGCCCGGGCTCTTCTGTCCGCCGTCACACATTTGTTGGTTCTGGCAGACATGTCTGATGTCTATAAACTCCTGGTGCAACTTAAACTGGTAAGATTATTTTTAAACCAAGCATGTTTCTTTTATTTATTCGTTTTTACCTAAATGTTAGTTCTTTTTATTTATATTTTATTGGAGGTGAATCTGATGAATGGCGCTTGCAGTGCCTCTTCATTCTCCCTGTCGGCAGGAAAGTTCCAGCTTCACTGTTTAGTTTGCAGCTTTAGTTTGGCGGTGTTCTGAATTTATAATGAAGCATGTAAAAGTTGTTTAGGGCTTCAAAATATAACCTGACTTAAAAAAAATAAAAAATTTTATATCTCATATGGGAAATTAGTTGCCAACAAATGATGTATTTTTAGGTTTTAAAATAATATTGAACACATAAATTCCAATCTTAATTCAAAGAAAAATGGTTCCAAAAACATACTTCTGGTTCTTTTAATGTCATTATTTTCCATCTTGTGTTTATTTCCATCTTGTGTTTAAGAAAACATTTAAGACTAGTACATTATTTAGCTCTTTATATACATTTTAGCCAATATTAAGAGCCGCTGTAGGGGGTCCAAAGAGCCGTATGTGGCTCTGGAGCCGCAGGTTGCAGACCCCTGGTCTAGTGTTTCCAACTCTAGTCCTAGTTTGAGCTCCTCACCTGCAAGGTTTACATACGGCAGTGAAGCAGAGCTGTAACTAGTGTTGCACCGATACCAGTATCGGGCGAGGCCCCAATCCAGCACTAAAATGGTGGTATCGGTAACGGCAAGTACCAACAAATAGGACACAGATACCATTTTGAGAGTCAAAAGTTTATTCAACTATTGTCACCCATTCCAGGTAGACAATAAAAGGTTCTACTGGATTCACTTCGTATTAGTCTTTTTCCTGCTTCACAAAGGTAGGCAGCAGCTTGACAAAGCCATAATGGTAATCATTTTACATCCAAGTAGTATGCAGTTCTTCATAAATACAAACATCAATTTCAAAGAGATGGTATCGGCCGATACTGCACAGCCAGGTGCAACACTAGCTGTAAACCCATTATGTCAAGTTCTGCGGTGCCTGTTAAAAACCATTTATTGGGTGTTGGATACGTGTGTGTCAGAAATCTAAAAAGAATCTTTTGAGGTGACTCAAAATGGCTGACTGTATGCAGAATGACCTTGTTCTACTTTTGTTGAAAGCAAAGAAATTTTTTACAAAAGGAAATATGGGAAAAAATATATATATAAAAGGAACTGAAAGATGTTTTGTTAAAAAAAGGTTTTGAGAGTAGCTTTGATTTCTAGGATTTCTTTTTTTATTTAAAATTATTGTTTATATTTTAACATTAAATTGTCAACAGATTTTTTTATTTTTGCCTTTGAGATTAAGTTTTAGACATTGCGTCTTTTTCAAGTTGAATTACACATCATATTCTCTTTAGAGCAAAGGTGCATTTCTATTGGTGAAACGCAATTTAAAACAAATGTAATTCGTAAAACTCAATCTGGAGAGCAGAAATGTGAAAAATTAAACACAAACTCTAATACAAGTTAAAAAAAATAATTAAATCAGAAATAAAAATAGAAATTATAAAATTACTTTTTTTTTGATTGATCTGTTTTCAAAGTTTATTTCTGGATTGCTTTTTTTATGTGTGTTTTATGTGTTCTTTTTACTTGGACAATTAGTGTAACAATGACTCTGAATTACTGGTCTTATAAAGGCCTATTATAAGTTTGGAAAATTGAAACTAAGAAATAAATCCTCCAAATTGTAATGATCCATAGTGGTTTACTTTGAAATAAAGAAATTGTTTTAGGACTGTAATAATAATAGAGGATTAAATGTAGCTGTTTGAAAAGACAAAATTGTTTTATTAAGGGCTGCTCAGTGGAGAAGTGGGTAGCACTGCTGCCTTGTAGCATAAAGGTTCCAAGGTCGATTCCCAGCCCGGAGTCTTTCTGCAGGGAGTTTGCAGGTTCTCCATGCATGCGTGGGTTCTCTCCGGGTATTCCAGCTTCCTCCCACAGTCCAAAAATATGACTGTTAGGCTAATTGGCTTCTCTAAATTCTCCTTAGGTGTGAGTGTGTGTGTGAATGGTTGTTTGTCCTGTTTGTCTCTCTGTTGCCGTGCAATGGTCTGGTGACCTGTCCAGGATGGACCCCGCCGCAGCTGTAAATGGGCACTGGCACCCGTTGTGACTCCAACTGGGATAAAGCGCGACAGAAAATGGATGGGTTGTTTTTATTTAAATGTAAACCATAGCCTGCTGCATTACTGCTTAAAACAGATTTTTTTCCCTCTTTGGTTAAGGTGGAGGACAATCTGCTGAAGGTGCGAAATGCTGGAACAGAGCAAGAGTTAGGAATCCAGTATAAGGCCTTGAAACCAGAGGTGGACAAGCTGAACATGATGGCTGCCAAGAGACAGCAGGTAATGTGAAGTAGCCAAGAGCTGTGATTAACAGAAAAGCCTGAATTTTATGGAGCTGTTTGTTTGGCGTGGATGGTCCATATGAGATTAAAATCTCTCGTACTGAATGATGATCAGAAAAAAAATTCACATAAACAAAACAAATACTATTTTATTATTTAAGTGAGTAAAGGGATACATTCAGTTCTTGTCCTATTCTCCTTCCCGGTGCAAGTTAAATTAGCCTAATTTGAATTAATGTGCTTAATTGTTTTATGCACTTGTTCTACAGCACCATGACAAACAGGAAGTATTTAGATGAGCAAACATTTGTCATTTGCATGATGTGAAGCAAAAATAATTTGTCTTCTTTAGAAGTGGAGGATTACAGAAAAACAGTTTGTACCAATTTTCCAAAGTTCATAAACACTGGCTGAGAGAAAATGAATATTTTTCACATCTAAATAGCTGCACCCGAAGGGCCAATGTCATTGTTTAAGGTAGCATTTCATTTCTGCTTTGTTCTTTCGAAGTATACATGTTTTTTTAAATCTTAAATATATTAAATGAAGAAAATTATCTTTTACTGGGGTAACTTGCATAACATTATCTTATTTGGCTTGTTTAAATAAGTCACCTGGTGATGAGCACAGAGTTTTAAATGGAAGGATAGGCTGCATAAAGTGATGGAGCTTAGCAGTGATCAGTAGTATAGGAGGACAAGGCCCTCATTTTCAATGTGAAAGTCTTTTCTTTGTTTTAATATCTCGCTTGTGCTTTCGTTTCCCATGGCTGTAGAATCTCAGTGCAGTTCTAAAATCTAAATAGCAACACATTAGATTTCAAAGGCACTTTATAATGGCCTGATTATGACTGTTGTATTACCACAGGGAACAGAAAAAAAATCTAGGTCATTTATTACAACTCTTAGTGTCTCCATCAGGGCACGATAGGCCCATTTTAAACTGAAACTACATCATCCCGGTAAGTGTTCCAGCTTTCACTTTATCTCCAGTTTCATCCTTTTTTCCATTTCACCCTCCTAGGAGCTAAAAGACGTCCATCATAAGGACCAAATGGCTGCAGCACGGGGGGTGCTGCAAAGGAACGTCCCTATGCTGTACACGGCATCCTGTGCCTGCCTGCAGCACCCTGACGTGGCAGCCTACAAGGCTAACCGTGACCTGATCTACAAGCAGCTGCAGCACGCCGTTTCTGGAATCTCCAACGCCGCCCAGGCCACCGCCACCGAAGAGTCAGCCCTGAATCAGCCAGGAGGGGCAGGAGAGCTCGCCTACGCCCTCAACAATTTTGATGTAAGTTACATGAGTGATTTACAAGTCACAGCCTCTTGGCTTATGAAGTTATATAAAAAAAACCTTTTCTAAATCCTATATCCACAGGTTAAACATTTTAATAAATAATTAAAAAAAAAGATTTAGATGTATTTATTTGACAGGGACAGTTTACTTTAAAAATATTCCTTCAAAGCGCTAGAATTAGCCAAAAGGCTAATGGACAGATCTGAAATTTTTTTCCTAGATTACAGACTTTGGGTTAATAAAATAGAATAAAACATTCAAATAAGTTAAAAGAGAAAACCTAACTAAATTATGAAGTGACCAAAACCCCTGAGGGGCTTGAACTGGAGGTGGAAATGGGGACAGGAAGAGCAGACAATGTGGGACATGGCTGTGGGGTAAAGTGAGTCTGCCATTGAGTCACTACCGCTTCGTTTCTTAATTTGCTTCTATTTCAAATCAATGAAAACGCCACAAACATTCCCTTTCATGTAAAGACCTACATTACGCTACACAATAAGCAGACAACATAACCCTTCATAAACAATCATAAAACAATTTTTTTTCTCTAATAAGAGTTGTTCTTTTCTTTTCTTTTAGATAAAAATCCCTGATATACAATTACAGCAACCAATTTATTAGTTGTATAAAACATGTGACCCTCTACTCATAATATTGACATGAAACAAAACATCAAGATAACTGATGGCTTAAAAATTGAGCTAATCAACCTGATGCTCCCTATGGAGATAAATACAGAGATGATTAGATTTTCTGTGGCACTAACCTCTCTGACAGGCAGGGCATTAGATATTCAGAAGGATTGTTCAGTTAAACTCCAAAGACATCCTGTAGCTCCAAAGTCACAAAGGTCTTTAGAAACACCTTTTATTTTTCTTCTGTTGTTGTAAATCCAGTCACATATTTATTCATTTGACAAGTAGCAGTGTCAAAAGCATGTGTTCGTATTTGATCAAGTTTTTCCCCTGAAATTTGTATTATTATTACGCCAAAGGGAAAAACACTAAACTCCCTCACTAATTTTCAATCTGCATAATTTTTGATTCATAATGGAGACGTTGATTTAACAATTTTATCTACATACAAAAACATGGAAACCTGTTAGTACAGCTCTATGTCTCATGCATCTATAAAAGGGGATTATTTTGTTAAAACATCTTAAGAGAAATAACCGATATTTATATTAGGGTTGTCACGATACTAAACTTTTCAACTCGATACCGATACTAAGGAAAATATTCGATACTCGATACCATTTTCGATACTACAAGGATAAAAACTCCAAATTTCAACAGAAATATTTGATTAATAATTAAAATACAATAAGCAATAAGAACAATATTTTGAGGTCGTTTGCTGTGCACAGTATTAAGCAAGCTTGATAAAAAACGTACAAAATTAAAATGAAGTTTTCCTTACTTGGCTATGCTTTGCACACATAACCATGACACTAGCCAAACCGGTTAAGAAACAAAAATAATTCTCAGCAGCTGCCCCTGTTACAAAAAAAAATTTGAAACTGAAAAGTGCACAGAATTATTCAATCACACAGTGTTCTGAAAGTGCTTTTTCCTCTATTCTGCACTTTAGATGAATGACTGTTTAGGTGCCACTGGTGGTAGCACCGTATCGATACTTTTGAAAATGAGTATTGTATCCGGATACAACGTTTTTTGACAACCCTAATAAATATATATAATTCACTTTTTTTTGGGTCACATAATTCTGGCTATAATTCTTACATTTATTAAAAGCACAAACCTTCATTGAGCGTGACAGTTGCTATTTTTAAAATTCTTTTAAACGGTTACATAGATTTTTAGGTTTCATGTGCTAAACTGGCCCGAGAACCCCCTTACACTAGAAAACATGCAGCAAATTTTTCCTGTTATTGTGACTTAGGCCTGGATCATGACTTATGGAGTCAAAAACCTGGTTTATGCTCAGAAACCAGGTCGTCGGCATGTGTGTCGCATTTAACCCGTCACAGAGAGGAGAGAAAGGAGGCTTCTGATTGGTTAATTCTACATACACTTTACACCATGCATATTTCCTGTTTGGTACCTAATGGCAGAAGCTCTGGCTGTTGTGCCATCCACAATGCCTGGAACATCTCGGTTACAATCCCAGACAAAGTGCAAGACGCTAGGTTGTAGCTCCTTGTGACTGTCTGTTGGTATGCATCTGAAGCCAAAACACGCAGCGCCACGGCCAGTCTTTGAACACTCACGGGTAAACTGTGTTTCGCCCGGCGTATGGATGAGGTGACGTAGACGGCGAACAAGCTCATCAAATCGACACAAGGACACCTGGAATAACATGGCGCAGACCGCGCTCCAAAATTGGGCATAAATCAAAAATATCTGCGTCAAACCTGCGACAAGCTAACTGCGACACACTTCTGCGGGAGGATACACAGCCCTTAAAGGCATACTATGCAACCTTTTTTTTAGTTAATTAATGTGTTCCATAACGTTTTGGATGATTAAATGAGTCATTTCAGGTCAAACAACGGTTTTCTCGGCCGCCCTGGTGGTCTGTAGGGGAAATAGCGTACTTGCAACTGCAGGAGCCCTCGGCCCGCACCCACAGGCTCAGAAGTCTCGTGCATCGAGAGAGTCGGTCTTGCTTTACGGCGAGAACTGCTACACGCCCCCAGTGAAAGGCATGGGCGTTGCTAGCACAGTGGCGATATTTGTGCAGTTATCATGGCGGAACCAGCGAGAAAACAGCGAAAGCCGATGTCGGAGCAGGCAAGAAAGTGGACCATGTCTACTCTACCGCAGTAGACATGGTGATTCGTTGCGTTCGCCTGTCTGCTATGCTCAGAACAACCGCGCCTGGCTTGACTGAGAAACCAGGAGAACAGCTGAGCATATATTTATTATTATTATTACTTTCGCCCTCTGGGGGGAGCCTCGCTGGAAAATCAACACCGGTTGCATAGTATACCTTTAATGTTAAAGCTGTTAGTAGCCACTGCTGCCACCCTCTGGTTTATGGGGGAACTGCTTGTTTTCTCCATAAATCACTATCTCTCAATGTTAAAGAATCATTAAAAAAAATATCCAGATTATGATCTGGATCCTCACCAGAATATAATAGATAGTTCATCGGCATGAGGCGCACCTCTGGTAAAAATGTCATTAAAATCAGTTTATAACTTTTCAAGTTAACCTGTACACAGAAGGACAGACAGACACACAAACTCCTAAAAGCATAACATCCTTGGCAGAGGCAAAAAGAGGCCAGAGTACATTTCCTCCAAAATATACGTCCTTACCTTAATTCTGAGCTTTCAGAAAGCCTTTTTTTAATCCTGCATTTTCCATTAGAGGTTGAGTGCTGAAGAGGATAAGGAGGAGCAGTTCAAGCCTCCTGTTACATGCTAAAAGTTTCAGTCTTGCTGCCTGAATGAACTGCAGACATCCTTGACATATCAGAGAAGAATTTAAAAAGCGTTTCAAACGTTTTACATCTCTGGGCTTCCTGGCTTCTTTAACAAGTTACTTAGAGAGAAAACAGCTGAGCTGGTGTTCTTCACTCACAGTAACAGCTTACGCACTAAAGAGGATGTTTGTTTAAACCGGCCCCCCTTAGCTATGTTGGGTTTAGTAATTAAAAGGCAATTAGCTTTTTTTTTTTTCTTCCTTCAGATGGGTCATTGGTCTAAAAGCACTCAAGCTCAACTTGTTCTGTTTTGGTCACCTGTTTCTCTCCATTTCTAATTAGATGTGGGAGGAAGGAAAACTTGATGAGTGATTTTAAATCTCTTGGAAAGAAGGTGTGATTTCATTCTGAACAGTCTTCGGAAATTGCTAGACATCTGAGCAGCCCTGATGTCTAGATAAAGAACCTCTCTTCAAATTATAGCTTCATATGAGCATGTTTTATAAGCTGATTGAAAAGTTTGGAGCTGTTTTTTTCTGTTATTCAGAGTCAAATTTCAAAGTCTTCTAATAGTGGAATAATTTAATAAATTAGTCTGGATCAGACTTTTTGTGTCCTGTATCAGTGGAGATGAAAGCAGAAAAATTCTTTCAAAATAAAAAGTCCTTAAATGTGCTTTTTTGTTCTTTTTCTCCCTGAAAATCGCCTCCCTAAAACCTGCTTTCAAGTGCTAGTCAAAATTAGCAAATGAGTCAACTCCCCTCTCTCTCCCCCCTCTATTTTCTCCTCCATGTCTCTCCCTATGCCTGTTACCATGGTGACGTGTCACGCAAGCAGGGGAGGTCGGATGAGACCGAGCGGACGGGTCCTATGACAGAAGACGAGCTGCTTAAACAAACTACAATTATAACAGCCTAAATATTTTGTAGCAGCAAAGCATCTGAAGTCGTCCAGATGTCAGGAGGACGCTGGTTTACTTTCATTAGCTGCCAAAAAACCCATGAAACATTAGGGCCTTGACTCGGAGCTGTAGTGAGATCTAATGCCTTTTCAATGCTTCAGCAGCAGAACTACTTGTAGGCTGTTAAAAGGCTCGCCCCTGCAAAGTCAAACTTAATTGGACCCGTCTTGTCCTGCTGAACTAAAAGAGGCAAGACAAGGTTATAGGAGTGTCTCTATTAGGCAAATGGATGCATATCTGAATTATATTAATTTAAGTGTTATGTCGTTGGGTAGGAGCATTTCATATTTTTCAGCATCTCTGGTCCGTCATCTTTAAAACATTTCATGAGTTTTACAATTGAACTGAAATTTCAGAATTGGATTGTGAAATGAAAGTCCTGAAAAGGAAAGGAAAACGACTGGAAACATTTTTCACAATCTGTTTTCGTACTTGGAGGTCCTTGTCAAATACTTCTGACTCTTTAGGGTATATAAAGATGATTTCTTTAGAAGGATCGTATCAACGAGCTAATCAACCACAAACTGCTACTTTAAACAAGTTATTATAAAATCTTTACTGATATCCTTTTATTTGCCAAGTTGTGCATTTTACTAAATTTTCACTTGGGTGGACATGTTGCCGTTTAGGCTTCAATCTAGTTATGACACCAACTTCAAATTAGAATGCAAACTTATGCTTTTTCTTTCAGTTTGGATTATTTGTTAGCCATATTCAGCGCATAGCATAGAGATGTTGGTGCCTTAATATTTGTCCACCTTATGACTTTCTAATATGTTTTGAGGTTATGCAGTCAAGTTTAGTACTGAGGCTGAATATGTTCCTTAAAATGATCTTTCCTTGGTCTTTCCTTATTTTCTCTTATTTTTTTCTTTCTAACAGAAACAAATCATTTTGGATCCCGTGGGCTTTAGCGAGGAACGCTTTCGTCCATCGCTGGAAGAGCGCCTTGAGAGCATCATCAGCGGAGCTGCTCTCATGGCTGACTCTTCATGCACACGTGACGACCGCAGGGAACGCATTGTGGCCGAATGCAATTCAGTGCGCCAGGCTCTGCAGGACCTCCTCTCTGAGTATATGGGAAATGTAAGTGTCTTTATTTTCTGCCAGATCCTTAACAAGCTGCTGCAACTGTCGAGTGTTTCTCTCCCATCACATTACAAACGTCGCATTATGATCCTATCTTTCATGGTAGTGAACATTAGTATGCTGTATACAGCAATTCCCACCATACTGCCTCCATTTGAACACATAGAAAATACTAAACTGATGTTTAGCAAAGAAAAAATAGTATGGATGTAAAAAGTTTAAAAAGATTAAAGCAATAGTCATTTTTTTTATTCCCTATATTATCACAATAAGCTCAACCTTTGGGTTTAGTGTTTTGGCTTCATTCCTGCTTCATTTATTGTTTTTGTTGGTTTTAGTTTCTTTTTTTACTGTCTAAGTCATTGTTCTGATTTTCACTACCCGATCCGTCCCGGAAGCACGATCCATCCTGCGCATGCACCATCAGCTCATGCGTGCATCCGGATATACATCCGGGTCGCCCTTGATTTTCATTTTGTTAAAAAGACCTGAATGACATTTTCCCTCCCCAAAAATGGTAAGCGTACTAAAATATAATGTGTTAAAGGTTAATAATGTATTTCCACCCGTCTCTGCTCGATATGCCCTGGAAATGGGATCCTACGCTACTTCCAGGAGCTTACTCTTCGGCTTTGGATTTAAAAATAAAGCTAGTCTTTTTTTGGAGTTTTATGTTTTCCTTCCGTGTTAACATTGTTATTTAGTGCATAATCTTAAGAAAGAAACGACTAAAATGCAGATAAACATGGATTAATTATATTTTGCCGGACTGCTCTGAGGATGTCAGATGATGTCAAGAGACGCAGTTTTAAGAAGAAAATGTAAAAAGCATCAAAATTGTCTCACAAAAGTCATACATTTTTTTTAAAGATGTGTATTATCATTCCTTAGTGAGTAAGGATAGAAATAAGTAAGCATGATTACAATATTTATGGACATGTACATCTATCTGCGCATGCGCAGGACTGATCGCGCTTCCGGGACGGATCGGGTAGTGACACGGCGTGTGGTGTAGATTTTTATTCCCTTGGAAACTTCCTGCTCCATCATAACAACCGCTGCCTCTTGTATTGTCCAGCTGAGATCAAAGTCAGTTTATTTTCAGGTCCCACCCAATCGAGTTAAAGGAATAGTACACCCAAAACATGATTAGCCTTCATTTTCTACTCACCCCCATGCTGAACAAAACTCTGGAGTACTTTTTTGATATCTCAAATGCATCTGGAGATCTGGGAGGCTTCTTGCTGTCTGCTGACATTCAAATAATGGAGGTCTATGGCGCCCGAGACAGAAAGGTCCACAAAAGTCCACAAAAACTTGTCAATATTCCTCCATACTGCTCGTCCAATGTAATCCAAGTGTCCTGAGTGGGTAGCATCCAGAATTTACTCGAAACAAAGTCATTTAGAATGTTTTTAGAGCATAAACAGTAGTGTATAGGATTTCCTAATAGCGCCCCCATGCGCGCTCGCGATTCTACGGAAGCCGGCAGACCAAACCAGCGGATTCAGCTCGGCAAAGAACTCATGCTCTTCCTCAACACTGAAGTCCTCAGACATTTTTCTTTCGTTGTTTCTTTCTTTGCACAGGTAAACAGCACATTTCTTCTTCTACGCTTGCATTATCGGCAGACCAGACGCTGAATGCGCACTTTCTTCCGGTTTGGTCTGCCGGCTTCCGTAGAATCGTGAGCGCGCATGGGGGCGCTATTAGGAAATCCTATACACTACTGTTTATGCTCTAAAAACATTCTAAATGACTTCGTTTCGAGTAAATTCTGGATGCTACCCACTCAGGACACTTGGATTACATTGGACGAGCAGTATGGAGGAATATTGACACGTTTTTGTGGACTTTTATGGACCTTTCTGTCTCGGGCGCCATGGACCTCCATTATTTGAATGTCAGCAGACAGCAAGAAGCCTCCCAGATCTCCAGATGCATTTGAGATATCAAAAAAGTACTCCAGAGTGTTGTTCAGCATGGGGGTGAGTAGAAAATGAAGGCTAATCATGTTTTGGGTGTACTATTCCTTTAAGTCAGTGTTTTATTTTATACATTTTCTATAGCATCGAATTCCTGCTCCTCTCTGAAGTCAACTATGACTAGAGAAATTGTGACGGTGACTGGACATGGCAGTGATATGACTACTCATTTGGTCAGATGAAGAAAATAGATTAGAAGCATAATGTATTATTGTCTGTCATGTGCATTAAATGGCCTAATTTGGCCTGTGAGATCTATGGCATGTGACATGTGCTTAGCATAGTGAGAGAATGTGAGCCTTGACCTCATGCCTTATAGTGGTGATAAACTGTCAGATGCTCTGACTGCATTTGTCAGGGATTTTGAAAGATTGAACAAACATTGCAGAGGCTTCATGACCATATGTGTGCTGTTCAGCCTGACTGGGCGGTAGAAAGTCTCTCATCTGGGATTTTATTGATTTCGTTTTTAGAATATTTGCTGAAGCTTGATAAAGCACACAGATTCAGCCACTGTATTAATAAAATGAATAGTTCACAATGAGACCTTTTTAATTTCTAGGATTTATTTGGCAGAGAGTGAACATTTTGTTCTAAAAAAAAAAAATGTCAAATAAGGTTTTCAGTGAGTTTGAAAATCATTTAGCTCATTAGTTCCATGTATCTCTGTATGTATTTGACTGGATTGAATAGTTTTGCCAAACATATTAAGAACATTAATTAATCCCCTCTGGCTTTTTTTTTGAGCATCTTTTACTGCTATAGAAAACATTTTCTGTAAAAACGGAAAACAAAATCAAATGGCGAATATTAATTAAAATGTCTCTGTGATTGAAAGAAAATGTTTTGACCAGTTCTTATAATAACAAGTATAGTTATTATTTTGGTTTTGAAGAGGCTACTTATTTTAAATATCCTGGGATCTTTTTTTAAGGTTTATCTTAATTATTCACCAGGGTTTTCCAAAGTTGGGATCATTTGATTGTTGTCAGAATCCCGGTGATTTGATCCCTGAGGAATATGGAAATGCATAAATGTGAATAACATCGTATAAATTGAAAAAAGTAGATGTAACATTTATCTAAATAAGTAATTCAAATATTAAAAATACTATTAAATAGTAAAATGCACAATTGAAATGTTCCACAAATAATAAAAAATACCATTTAAATACGGAAGCCAAGACCAGTTGTACACATTTTTTTTTTCCTTTGCCTTCTAGCGATAATCAATCAAACTTCTTTATTGTCAACTACAATTTACATTAAAATCAAAGTTTCAGTTTCAGTAAACGTTCGGGGGAACGAATTTACTGAGGCCATTCGGCAGAGCGACGCATTCTTATGGCTTGCCAGGTTCCCACCAGTTAACTGGCTTCCCAGGTGGTTACCTATAGCGCTGCCTTTTATCTCTGTGGAAAGATAGAACAGAGATTATGAGATATTTTCATAAAAAAAAGGACCCTGAAAAAGAGGCAATATATATATATAATTATGCCGTTATCACGGTTAAACAATTGTTTTCTAGAGATAATGAAAATTATCTCGTTATAACAAGAAATTATTAACCTGTATGAGTAATGAATGAGGCTGTCCAACAGCCCTGGATTCCCAGTGCATCCATGCCTGCGGGGCCCGTAGTTTTGCAGTCGCGGCACCGCATGTGCGTAAATAATCAGTCTTTTAGTTCCCATTTTTTCTTTTCACGCATTGTCAGGTCGTGGTGGATGATTGGATTGCGGGGAATACAGTAGAAACAAATCTGTTTAGAAAAAAAAAATCTTTAATCTGGAATCATTTAGGGGGTTAATGCATCTTATACCTCTTACAGGCATAATAGCCGGGGTTGTTCAGAAGGCACCGGAGGCAAAGGTCCGATTGCTTATGAATTAGAAGTGGAAAGTTAAACACAGGATTATTTACAGAATTACACATAGGCTGCCATGACTTTGGCTTATACATCCTCTCCCTCTGTTGTGGTATTGAACGATGTAATCAGTTTAAACGCACCAATCATCTCGTTATAACGAGAAAATTAAAGCCTTTTTCTCGAAAACCACTATGAACAAGTATTTCAGGTCTCAGGTTCCATATTTAAAAGATTAAATCAATAATTAGATATCATTTATAAATGTAGTTTAAAGTTGAATATAATTCAGTTTATGTATTTAAACTAATAAAGTAAACTAATTGGAGTATTTTCAGAGGGTTGTCAGTCAGCTGCGTTCTTCTTAAGGGCTGAAATGTCTGGGAACCCCTATTATAGACCTTTCTTCATGTCGGTGTTAATTATTTGCAGTCATCAAACTTCAGTGAAGTTTAATACGAGTTATTTCTTATGTACATTCTGATGCTGAGGTGTGTCAAAACAAAAACATTTAAATTATATTCTAAATCTACCTTTTCTGGGAGTTTTATTCACCATAAATGTTTAAAAAGCTGCAAGAGGTCGATATTGACACTCCTTCCCAGTTCTAAATCGCACATTATCTGTAAGAAAGAGTAAATGGGACACATTTAGAAATATTAATCTTCCATCTTTTTTTAAGTCAATACCAACTCAAAAAACACAAATGGAATATTGCCTCTTTTTCTGGGTCCTTTGTGTATGAAAATATCTCATTCAGAGAGGGATTCAGAATTGGTAGAAAAATATTCTCCTGCTCAGGGTAGAAGAAATCCTGCCTCATCTTTATTTCCTTTTAACTTAAACTTCAAGCAGCATTCTTGCTGCTTTCAGTCTACCACAGAAGAGGGAATTGATTTTTTTTTTTTTATATATATTTTTCAGGTGACATTGTTGCATGCATCACCATTGACTGCAAATGATCACCAGAAGAGGAAATAAATTTCTCTTAAAGCACATAATCAAACTTCATACGATATTTACCCGAAGAACATCTAAATGCTCTGTCTCTGTGTGCCTCTCTGACGAAGACTTAAGGGCAGATTAGACTTCTGCAACCGCACACATCAAATGATGCTTGCGTCTGGTGGCGAACCAGTTTTGCTG